TGAGTAAACAGCTCTCTCAGCTGGATCTTCTCACACAGCTTTCCCATCTCTTTGCCAACCAACAGTCAAACTGCCTGAAGATTGGATTGGATATGATGGATAAAATTTGTATAAAAACTACCCCTTCACACACCATCTCATCACTTGGTTTTCAGCTCCTATTCCAGTGCTGGAAAGGAAGAGGAGAGAATGTGCTCTCCGACTGATGTCCCTTACAGTCAATCCAAATATTTCTGGAACACCAAGTTTCCTGGAGCTTGGGAAACTGACTGGAGAAATGTGGCATCATTTCATTCCATTCAAGAAGGGAGCAAGGAATCAACCAGGAAACTACAGGCCAGGCAGTCTATTCTTAGCAGTGGGGAAATTATTGAAAGTAATTCTAAGGGACAGAATTAATCTGCACTTGGAAAAGCAGGGATTAATCATGAACAGTCAGCATGATTTTGTTAAGGTGAAGTCACGTCTGACCAAATTGATGGAATTTTTCGAAGAAGTGACCAGGTGTGCAATTGACATTAATACTGTTGATGTCATCTCCTTGGACTTCAGCAAGGCTTTTGATAAGGTCTTGCATGAAAGGCTGATAGCAAAGATAAGGGTCCATCGGCTCCAAGAAAACTTGAAAAATTTGATCCAAATTGACGGAGTGACAGCAAGCTGAGAACGATGATTGAGGCTTGTATTTCTGACTGGAAGTGTGTCCAGTGGGCTCTCACAAGATTCAGTTGCTGGGGACCTTACTGTTTGTGGTTTTTGCAAATGATGTAGACTTGAATGTAGGAGATTTGATCAATAAATTTGCAGACAATACTAAAATTAGTGAGGTGGTAAATCGTAAGGAGGTTAGATAGCCTTAGATTACAGAAGGATACAGATGGACTGCTTGGATGTTCTGATCATTGGGAAATGGAACGTAATCCAGATAAATGTGAAGCGATGTACTTGACAGGACGAACAAGGCAAAGGGAATACACTTTGAATGGTAGGATCCTGGAAAGCACTGAGGATCATGGGGATCTAGGTGTGCACGTACAGTGGTCTCTTAAGGTATCAGGACAGGTAGATAAAGTGGTTAAAAAGACATATAGTGTACCTGCCCCTGTAAGCCAAGCCAAGAGTTTAAGAGCAGGGAAGTGATGCTAAACTCTACAAAACATTGGTTTGGCCAGCCACAGTATTGTGTGCAGTTCTGGGATCCATATTATAGCAGGGATGTGGCAGCACAGAGGACTTTTACCTGAATATTGCCTAGGCCGAGGAGTTTCAGCTATGAAGAGAAATTAACAGGCTGAGTTATTTGAAAAAAATCTTTTTCACCTTGCGTGTGGTGGCAATCTAGAACTCACTGCCTGTAAAAGTGATACAGGCAGAAATTCTCTTAATATTTAAGAAGTATTTAAATGTGCACTTGTGATGGGACAGAATACAAGGCAGTGGGCCAAGCAATGGAAAATGGGATTAGAACAAATAGGTCAGAGATAGCAAGAACTGCAGAGCTGGAGTCAGAGATAACATAATGTGGAGCTGGAGGAACACAGCAGGCCAGGCAGCATCACAGGAGCAGGAAAGTTGACGGACCTTCTTCAGACTTACATTTAGTGGGAAAAGGTTGGAGAGATTTTCTCTGGAAGTGCCTTGCTGTGTTTGATGGAGCGAGGAACAGTCCATCTCCTGAAACATGACTGACTGAATTGCAAACCCTTCTGAAGAAGGGTCCCGACCCAAAATGTCAACTTTCCTGCTCTTGTGATGATGCGTCCAGCTCCACACTGTGTTATTAGAACAAACAGGTGGTTGATATTGACCAGCACAGGCCATGGGTCTATTTTTTGTGCGCTTAGATCTCCATGACCATAGTGTTAAATTCTGATTACTCCTCCACTCCGTATCTGGTCTCAGGAGAGACCAGTTTCTCTCAGGAGAGCTGACATACTTAATGTTATTAACCCACACCGAACACTGACTTTTCATCAATATCACTTTTCTATCACCGTGACATTCCCTTTGCATTTTGCTCTGGGACACCTTAACTATTTGTTCTTACAGAATCTGAAAAATACACATCAATAGTTCTCCATGAGCTGAGTAAGAGTGTGCATACCCTCCACAAGTCGGACATGTAAAATCCAGGATTGTGGTGCACTCCTTCCTGCCATGCTGTGTACCTGGAGACCAAACCAACCAGGGATTCAGCTCCGAGGCCGCAGCTCAAACCCCTCACCTTGCTGCTGCAATGACCGAGAAAGTCAAAAGGACACATTGACGATAAAAACTCAACAGCAGATTGTTAGTTTTTAATGAGCCACTAACATGGGGATGTAATTTATCTGGTGGGATAACAATAGACGTTGGACACTGACTCTATCTCTATAAAAGCTGTGACCACAACTTCCACATCACAGTGACCATTAGAGCAGGTTCCACACAAAATAATCCAAAATTTCAACACCTTCCTCACAGAATGTTCCTGTAAATTGTGTTATAATGTTTTATAGTGAGACATTAATATCTCTAATAGAAGAATAGATGTCAACATTTATCAGATCTGTCCCAAAATCTTGTGAAAACCCAACATCTCCAGAAATATCTAGAACATTTCAGCAAAAACTTACATTTAGTGGGAAAATGTTGGAGAGATTTTCTCTGGAAGTGCCTGCCTGTGTTTGATGGAGTGAGGGACAGTCCATCTCCTCAAACATTAACTGAATTACAGCCCCAAGCCCAGAAAGCTCCCCCTTCACTGAGGTTGTTTAAAACCTCCACAAGGACTCAGTTCAATTCATCCAATCCCCTCACAATCCCGCTCCGAACTACATTACCCATGCTGCATATCGGCCCCGCGCCTGCGTAGGGAAGGGCAACAATAAGAAATCGGAGCCAGACGGCTCGCTGGGCCTGACGGAAGTTGTAGTTCTAACCTGCTCCGCTACGTTCGAGTTTTCCAAGCTGAGCGCGCGCTCAAACCCAAGCGGCTGTCACGTGGGCGCTGCTTGAATTGGAGGAGCGCGTCTATAATTGGCGGCCCCTGGCGGCGCGAATTGGGATTTCTTTAGGTTTCCTCTTCTTTCAAAGGCCTTTTTCTCTCATACACACTGCCGTTTCCCCCTATCCCTGCTTCAACCTCACCATTCCTTCACCACCTATCGGCCCAGAACACAGGAGTCACCCGGTCTCAGCTGGGCACAGCTCACAGCTGGCGTATCCCCTGAAAAAGATTCTGTTGCAGGTGGTCTGTAAAAGTGCTAGTGTACAAAATCTTTATTTACGTAAAATCACAGAGCCACAGTGCAAATGGATTAGTCAAATCATCCTCCCTTTTCAGAAGAAAAATAAATTGCATGCATCATCACCAGTTACTCCACATCCAGATTCCGTCAAGAAAATTATTACATATGAACAAAATCTGTTGTTGCTCATCTGTTCCAGTTTCTTCTGTTCCTCCAACAGGATTGCACACATTGTCTTTTAAGCCGGCAGATCTTTTTACATTGCGCCTCTGAGGTGTTGTTGGCTGCTCATTTGTTGTTGCTGGCTCAGGTGGTGTTGACCCTCTGGAAAATGTTGTTGCTATGGGGACTGCAATTCCTGTGGTAAATGTTGCTGCTGATCTGAGATTTTGGCTGAACACTGGGCCTGACAGTCATTCAGTTCCTCATGCAGTTGGTTGTTAAAAGGTCTGTCTCATGAGCTATATGCTATGAGTTAGCAACTTCTCCAGCTACAGGTAGAAATCCACAGGTTCAAAGATGGTCTAATCATTCACTTTCACTGTTAACAATCGAGGTAGCAACCTCTGCATAAGGTTATCTAGTTGACAGCATGGTCATTTCTGAAGGGTCTAGGCCCGAAACGTCAGCCTTCCTGCTCCTCTGATGCTGCTTGGCCTGCTGTGTTCATCCAGCTCTACACCTTGTTATCTCAGATTCTCCAGCATCTGCAGTTCCTACTATCTCTGCCAGCATGGTCACTTTTGTTGAGTGTGTTAAATGTTTTCATTCTGACCAGCTCTCCAAATCTAGGTTCTGACAACAATCTGGAATTGTTATCAAATTGAACTTTGGCTTTCTGTCTTTGATCTTGTCACTCACTGCTGTTACCACTTATAATCTCAATTGTTTTGTTTTATCTGGTTTAAAAGTAATTTGCATGCAGCATAATATTACTTGCTGGACTGCTTTCCATTTCTTCAGTAGGTGCGTTTCTCTATGCTAAGACTGTGTTGTATACATGTGAGCCAGATATAGATGACCTTTTTCTTTTTTGGCATGTTTCACCGCTGCCTCGACCTTCCCATCTGACCGATGATAGAGTGGAAAGGATGTGTAGTGCTGAATTGCTCAATCCATTCATGAAGTGCCTGAATTCTTCACTCATAAATTGACGTCATTGTCACTGAACACAATGGCAGGAATGTCATGAAGACTGAAGTGTGCTTTCAGATATTCTACAATCTCACTGGGAGTGACTGACCTCCGCTGCTGTAATTCCCTGCTGCCTGAATAGTAGTCAACTGTGACAAGATAATCAGTTCTAGTGAGCGTGAACAGCTCTACTCCAAGCTTCATTCAAGGGCTGTCTGGCATGTCATGAGTCACAAGCAGCTCTTTATCTTGTTTAGTTTGATGTTCATTACAAGCCCTGTACTGGCTGATTGCATCTCATTGCTCATGTTTGACCAGTATAGCACTTCTATCACCTTCCTCAGACTAGACTCAATTCCCTGGTGTTTGTGTGGGATGTATTTCAGCCTCTCTTTTCTCATCTCTTCAGGGATAATGACACTGCTCCCTTTGTACAAGGTGACATTTTGGGTGATTACTTCATCTCCGTTTGTGCAATAGTCTCACAGTAACAGGGCTGGCCTTGATGGTGTCAGACCATCCTTACACCTCAACTTCCTGTTGAATTTGAACAGTTTTTGAACAGATATACCACGTTGTTTGGGTTTGCTTAATCTGAGCAGGACACTTGCCTGTGAGATTCAGTGTCTCTACTCAGTTGATGACTTTCAGTGCTGCTGCTTCTTTTTGAATCTGGAAAATTTCACGCTCCGCACCAGCATCAACTTCCTTCAAAGAGGGTGCAGCTCTCCACCGCATGTTAGTGACGTTCATCTGCTTCCCTAGCTTGTGGGTCGTGTGTGAGTGCGTTTGTGTCTGTGGAGGTTTGATGATGTTGAGAATGTTTTTTCACACACTTCGCACCTGAATGGTTTCTCCCCTGTGTGAATCCTCTGGTGGAGCAAAAGTCTGGAGGAGTCAGGGAATGATTTGTTACATGCCTCACATTTGAACAGTTTCTCCCCTGTGTGAATGCGTTGGTGCGTCCGGAGGTTTGCTGACCGCGAGAATGATTTGTCACAAGTCTCGCAACTGAATGGTTTCTCACCTGTGTGAATACGTTGGTGCTCGCGGAGGCTTGATGATTGTACAAAGGATTTGTTACAAACCTTACACAAGAATGGTTTCTCCCCTGTGTGAATGCGTTGGTGTCGGCGGAGAGCAAATAACAATGAGAACGATATCTCGCAAAATTTGCACCTGAATGGTTTTGTCCCTGTGTGACTCCGTTGGTGCCTGCAGAGGTCTGATGACTGTGAGAAAGATTTGTCACACACCTCGCACATGTATGGCTTCTCTCCTGTGTGAAATCGCTGGTGTGTCTGGAGATTGGAGGATTGGGTGAATGCTGCCTGACACACTGTACACGTGAAGGGTTTCTCCCCCGTGTGAATCCCCTGGTGTATCAGGAGGTGCGTAGACTTTACAAAAGCTTTGTCACAAACCTCACACTTGAAGCGTTTCTCTTTCATGAAGGTGTCCTTGAGTTAACAATTCTACATCAGGGCGTAGTTTAAATGTAAGTTGATCCGATAAGTCTGTGGAGTCCTCTTCACACTTGAACAGTCTCTCACATGTACGAATGAGTCAGTCATTTATGAGGCTCGATGAATAACTGAAGCTCTCACCTCAGCTTGAGCCACTCACACTTCTTCCCAGCCTGACCCTGACTGATCACCCACAGCCGAACCTTCAGAAAGTTTGGTTCTGATGGAAGGCTCCACACTACTGACCAGTGTCAGATCTGATGATATCTCAAAGCTCACCTGAACCGACCAACTTCCAGATGATGTTTTCACTGCCCAACCTTCTCTATGTTCAGCAATGCAGCGAGAGGACTGGTTGTCTTGCAAAGTGGTGCAGTTGTTCCTTGGGCAATGGTCAGGATCTATCTGTGGTGTCTATGCTCTTGTATTCTCTAGTGTAGTATGGTGCAATCCTTCTGTAAAACAAGAAAAGGAAACATGATTTTCTCCCTCTCCTCCTTTGCTGAAGGGGCTAACTCCTCAGCTACAGACAGTTCCACAGCGAGTGCCAGTCTGCTATTCCCCCTTTTCTTTCTCACTTGACTCACAAACCCTCTGTTTCCAGCAGCGACACTGTCTGCTCCTGGTTAATATCCAATGTGGTTATTTCTTTTCATGCACCCAGATCCCCAATTTCCCAGAAACTGTGAAGTCAGTGGAAAGACAGTCAGGTGGCATGTTAAACAAGCTGTCTAAGCTTCAGTTATGCTGACAAAAACAAGTTTTGCCCTTAAATGTATCTATTTAATGCTTTAAAAACACTAAGGAGAAATATTAATTGAATGCAGATTTTGAATTTTGAATTTATTTTTCAATATTATTTGAAGAATACACACTGCCAAATTCAGCTATCAGTCTTAGCACTGAGCAAATCCAAGCCTAGGGTTTGGGGAAAGGCTGAGGCCTCCAGATAAATCTTTCATGAAGGTGTGAGAGCACATTTTCAACAAACGTGTTTCCAGGTATGACAGCTGAATTGCTATGGTGCTAGATTAACAATCCAGAGACTGAGAGCTCAAATCTAACCGCAGAAAGTTACACTGAATTTCATTGAGAAACAGGCCATTCGGCCCAACTGATCCATGCTGATGTTTATAGTTCACATGAGACTCTACTCGCCTCTCTTCATCTCAATTCTATCAGCAGATCCTTCTGTTCCTTTCCCCGTCATGTGTTTATCTAGTTTCCCTTAAAGGCATCTCTGCCCTTCACCTCAACCACTCCATGTGAAGGTGAATTCAATAAGTGCGGCTATTTGCTGAACAGAATTCTAATGCACATGTGAAAACATTCACACTGCCTCAAAAACCCAAACGTTGTCCTTCAAGGATGGGAACTTGCTACAAATGCCTGGACTGGTCTACACAAGGAGTGGCAGATGGAGTTTAATTTAGGTAGATGTGAGGTGCTACATTTTGGAAAAGCAAATCAGGGCAGGACATATACAACTAATAGTAACATCCTGGAGAATGTTGCTAACAAAGAGACCTTGGAGTGTGGGTTCATAGTTCCTTGAAAGTGGAGCTGCAGGTCAACAGGATAGTGAAAAAGGTGTTTGGTATGCTTGCCTTTATTGGTCAGTGCATTGAGTTTAGATGTTGGGAGGTCAGATTGCGGCTGTGCAGGACATTGGTTAGGCCACTTTTGGAATACTGAGTTCAATACAATCAGAGGCTGAATAGGCTGGGGCTATTTTCCATGGAGCATTGGAGGCTGAGGTGTGACCTTACAGAGGTTTATAAATTCATCAGGGGCATGGATAGGGTGAATAGCTGAGATCTTTTCCTCAGGGTGGGGGAGTCCAAAACTAGACGGCATAGGTTTAAGGTGAGAGGAGAAAGATTTAAAAGGGACCTAATGGGCAACCTTTTCATGCAGAGGGTAGTGCTTGTATGGAAATGAGCTTCCTGAGCAAGCGGGTGTAGGTGGTACAACAACAACATTTAAAAGGCATCTAGGTGTGTAAGAGAGTAGGAAGAGTTTAGATGGATATGGGCCAATTGCTGGCAAATGGGACTAGATTAATTTAGGATATCTGGTCAGTATGGCTGAGTTGTACCGAAGAATCTGTTTCTGTGCTTTAAAACTCTATGACTCCACATCCAATAATAGGAGGATAACTCTCATGGAGGGAGTGCAGTGTAGATTTAGTGGACTAATCCCTGGACTGCAAGGGCTAGTTTAGGAAGAGAGATCAAACAAACTTGGGTTATGTTCCTCAGCATTATTAGAAATTTATGATTGATCTGTTCGCAGCATTAAAGTTAATAAACTGTTTACATGGTTGGGGAGTGTGGGACAAGGGCATTGCCTATAAATTAGAGGAAGACATTTCATAAGTGAAATGAGGAAACACTTTGTACCTTAAAGAGTTGTAAAAGATTGGACCGATTTTCACAAACTACAATCACTTGGAGAATAATTGTTAGTACTCACTCTGAGACTTTTGTTCCCCAAAGGTTTAAAGGGACATCAGAAAAAGGACAGGATTATGAAGATCAATCACAGATGTGTCATGATCTCGCTGAGTGATGGAACATACTTGAGGGTATAGCTCTGCTGTGGACTCCCTGCCTCTGTGTATTGCCACCCAACAAGGCAATACTCCCTCAGTACTGCAGTTCCAATGTGGAAACAGTTCCTCAGTTTGTATAAATTGCTGTCCCAAAGATAATAATCAAGTCCCAATACTCACACAGAACTCATCAATAGGAAATCAGGAAGAATCCTCAGACACTCTGCACCTCCCAGATAGTTACACCTCACCTTCTCATATTCAGGAATGAGCCATCAACAAAACTCAGCCTGGAAATCAGAGGGAAATGCTTCCAACAAACACACTCAATATCCAACACACAGCTCCAGTCAAACAGTTCAGCACAAAGCACCGAGTAAACAGCTCTCTCAGCTGGATCTTCTCACACAGCATAAGGGACATTTCCACCCCTGATTGCCCACAGGATAGTCAGACTGCCTGAAGATTGGTGTGGATATTATGGGATACAATTTGTATGAAAGCTGCTCCTTCACTCACCATCTCCTCACTGGGTTTTCAGTCCCTATAGGAAGTGAACCAGCTCTGGAAGAGGAAGAGGAGAGAATGGGCAGAGTGGGTGGGCTCTCTGATTGACGTCTCTCACAGTCAATCCAAATATTTCTGGAACAATATGAGTTTCCTGAAGCTTGGGAAACTGACCGGTGAAATGGAGGTGACTTTGAGCAGTAGATCAGGTGGAGATTTAAACTTGTCATTGACCTACCTGAATAAAACCTCATTTATTGCAGCTGCTGTCTCAGTTCCCCTGGTAAATGTTTGACAGAGATTTCTAATGTGGGAATAGCACTCTTCATCCTCGGAGGGTTTCCAAGTGATAGCATCAGTGTGGGATGTATATCTTCGGATGTGTTTGACAGCAGATCAGAAGAGGAACACTTACAGCATCCAAGACAGTGATAATGTGCAGTGGTGGGATCAGCACATGCACAGGAGGGAGTAGACACCGAAAATAACGCAGAGGCGCGATGAGGCGGGAAGTGGCATTGTGACTTGGCCAGTGAGATGTGGCTCATCTGCCCTATGAGTTGATAACCATCAAGGGTCACTTCCACTCGAGGTTCACTTCGTTCACGTACAATTTCAAACATTCAACTGACCCAGTTCTTCTCCCAGTGTATCCATCTATTCACCTTTCCCAGGATATCACAGTCCATTCACCTCTTCAATTATACCACAGTCCATCCACCTGGGATATCATAATCCATTCACCGCTGCCAGGATATCAGTCAATTCAGTAATTCTAAGATATCACAGTCCAATCACAGCTCCTATCATATCTCAATCCATTCACCACTCCGAGGATATCACAGTGCATTGTATTTTTAAATTCATTTGTGGGATGTGGGTATCACTGGTTGGGCCAGCATTTATTGCCTGTCCCTAGTTGCCCTTGAGAAGGTGGTGGTGAGCTGCCTTTTGAAACTGCTGCAGTCAATATGCTGTGCGTTGACTCATAATGCCATGAGGAAGGAAATTCAAGATGATGGTGTTCCCATATATCCGTTGTCATTGTCCTTCTAGGTGGAAATGATCGTTGGTTTGGAAGGTGCTGTCTGAGGATCTTTTGTATATTTCTGCAGTGCAGATCATTACAGTTCAATCACAGCACCCAGGAGATCAAAGTCCATTCAACACACTGGGAAATACAGTTCAATCACAGCTCCCAGGATATTACATTCCAATAACCACTCCTGGGATATCACAGTGCATTCACCGTTTCCGGGATATCATGTTCCATTAACCTCTCCTGGTTTCTCTGTTTGTCCGGCCTTTGCTTTTATTCATTGCTCAGATGTGGCAAAGATAGCACTGATCATCCATCCGTCAGTGCCCTTGAGAAGGTGGTGATTAGGTGTCTTGTTGAACTGCTACTGCTGATGGATTGCAGGAAACCCAACAGCGCTGTTATGAGGGAATTCCAGTATTTTGACTCTTCAAGTGAAGAATGTGCGATATAGTCCCAATTCAGGATGGTGAGTGGCTTGGAGTGAAACTTGCAGGTGGTAGTATTCCTATGTATATGCTGCTTTTGTCTCACTAGGTGGCAGTATTTGTGGATTTGGAAGATGCTAACAATGCAGCCTTGGTGAGATGGTACACACTGCTGCTACTGAGTGTCAGAGGTCAAGAAAATCAATGCTGGAAGTCTAAGATGGAATACCAATCAAGAGAGTTGCCTTGCCCTGGATGATATTGAGGTTCTTGAGTACTGCTAAAGCTGCACTCATCTAGGCAAGTGAAGAGTATTCCATCACTTTCCTGAGTGATACCACCATTTCTTCACTGTCAGTGGGCCAAATTCCTGTAATTTCCTCCTGAACAACATTGTGGCTGTACCTACACCCCACAGACTACAATGGTTCATAAAGGCAGCTCACCA